TGGGGGTCGGTGACTCGGGGGGACAGAGAGTGGACGGTGGGCACCGGGGGAGGGATGGGGGTCGGTGACTCAGGGGGACAGAGAGTGGACGGTGGGTGCCAGGGGAGGGATGGGGGTCGGTGACTCAGGGACAGAGTCTCAGTTTGGGAAGATGGAAAGTTCTGGAGACGGATGATGGGGACGGCTGCACAGCAGTGTGAATGTACTTAGTGCCCCTGAGCTGTGGGCTTAAAGGTGATTAAATGGTAATTTTTATGTTATATGTATTTTACCATGATTTAAAAAAAATAATAATTATTTTTTCAAAACCAATAATTCGAAGAGCATTTGGGCTGGAGAACAGTTGTGGGTGGGGAGGTGGGTGGAGAAGCCACCCTGGGGCCACTGCAGACATCCCGAGGGGCTTCTGGAGCACCCTGGAGTGGACGGTGGGGGGTGGGGCGCCTGGGGTGTTGAGAAGGGAGAGTGGCTGGAGCAGCGGTGAGGCTGCAGGCAACCACCGGGAGATGCGTTGGAGGGGTCAGGAGTGAGGGCCCAGCAGTCACCCCAGCTACAGCGGGGACCCCAGCACCCCACCTTGTCACTTGCTGCCCATTGCCCCTGAACCTCTCTCTTCCTTTATTTAACAGACACCTGGGGCCCACTGTGCTGGGCTGGACGGGGGTGCCCACAAAGACACCCAGAGAGAGTGGTGGAAGGTGCTCTCCAACTACGAGACCGTCAAGGCAGGGACCCTGCTGTTTTCAAAGAGCACCCCAGGCAATGCTTCTAGGGTGACCCAGTGAACACGCAGGTGGATGCATGCAGCCCGCCCCTGCTTCCTGCTGCGCCCTTTCCCGGAGCATGAGCCTCGGCTTTGCTAGCTCCATAGGACCCGCCGCTGGGGTGGGAGCCGAGGCCCCGTCTGGCGTCCACAGGAGACCCTGCGTGAGCTCTCGGTCTGGCCCGGGTGGGGGCCGCAGTCGGTGGCCGGAGGGAGCTGGCTCAGCCAGGACGAGTTTATTAAAAACAAGCTGGAGATCAAGGAGGGCCAGCTCATGTCAGCCGAGCTCATCCTGGGCCCCAGAGTCATCAGAAATAAGAAAGCGCGGATAAGCCCTGTCTAAATATCACGGCAAGCGGGGTCAGCGGCAGGCAGCTGGCAAATGTCAGCCGGGGGCGGGGGCCCTCCGCGCCCCGGGATTAGTGGGAGGCCTGGAACGGTTGTGCCCGCCTCCCCTGCTGCCCGAGGGAGGCCCGAGCGCGGAGGATTACCGCTGCCAGCGTCTCGGGGGGTGGGGGGCTCTGCTTTCGGCCCTGCTGACCCCCGTGGGACAGGGGCCCACTGCAGGGGGGAGGCCGAGCGGGAGGAAGCTGAGCCTGGCCCAGGAGAGGGACACATCCAGGTCCCGGAGCCGGGCTGCCCACAGAAGACCCCAGTGGGGCGGGGCGGGGCGGGGCGGGGGAGGCGGTGACGTTTAGGGAAGCGACGGGACTCCTGGCGGCCTCTGACAGGGCTCCCCTCCCTGTGTGACAGTGGCCCTCGGTCCCCTCTGAGCCTGTTTCCTGCACAGGGCTGCGTGCTTCCTTCGGGGCGGCACAGCGAGTGCAGGTCACCCTCTCTGGGCCTCATGTGTAGTCGGCGCCCTGGTCCCCCGTCCTGGGCTTCCCGAGCCAGAGGGAGCAAAATGTGTCCCCGGTGGGCAGACAAGGGAGGACAGATGTGCCCCGCATGGGCAGTGATCCTGAGTCTCCCGCAGGACCAGCACGCTCCCCAGGGGTGGGACTGGCCAGCACAGCCCCATCCCGAAAATGTCAGCGCGGGGGCCAAGGTGGGACCTCAGAGCAGCTCCCCACGCCTCGCCAAAACAAGATGGAGAGCAGGCGCGGGCGGCCCCGCACTCCCCACTCGGGAAGGCAGGTGGTGAGCCTGCGTGGGACTGCGGGCGGATGGGGTCAGGACCCAGAGGGGGCCTCAGTCCTGGGCAGCCCCCGACTCCCAGCCTGCTGCCAGTGGAATGTGCAAGAAGCACGGCAGAGGTGCCTGTGACCCAGGGGTGCAGGGGCGTGGGCCCCCTAAGCGCTTCCAGCGGGCAGGCCCTAGGAGGGCCAAGCAGGCGCTGGGCACCCGGAACAAGCCGGGCCAAGCAGAGCCCGGGGGGACCTCCAGGAACCCACCCTGGCTGCCCGGATGTTCAGCTGAGACGTTCAGCTCGTGTGCTCTGGGCACGTCGAGCAGAGCACTCTGTCCCCTCCTGAGTTTTGGCCCCCGTGACTCTGCTAATGCAGCCCGGGGCCTTGCGGGCCCACAGCCGGAAGCTGGCTCCCCTGTAGGATGGGCGGGGTCAAGCGACGAGGCGGCCCCTCACCGCCGAGAGCGCCGGGAGCCTGGAGCAGCGGGACCAGGGGCAGGTGACTGGGACCCCAGGGCTGGCGGGGGGCGGGCACCGGGCCTGTCATGTGCCCACGTGCTGCTATCAAAGCACAGCTGTGGGCGCCTGCCCCCGAGTGGCTAATGAGAACGGCATGGCGCTCTTGTCTCCGGCGGGCTCCGTCGTCAGCCGACTGAGAGCCGGTGGGAGGGGGCGGCCGGCGAGCGGAGTCCTGCAGGGGCCAGGCGGGGTGGGGGGCCTGCGGACGGACCCCAAGGAACCCACAGCACCTGGCAGGAAGCTGAGGCCTTGGCCGTGACGTGGAGTGAGGGTCTGGAGGGACGCGGAGCCAGGAGCCGCCCCACGGGCAGCCCACCGTGGCCGGGCAGACCTCCTGAGGCCCAGCTGCCCACCGCATGCACCGTTCAACCCCCGTCCACGTGCACGGAGGCTCCCATGGGCACGCTCACGCACAGGCCGCCAGAGCTACCGGCGGAGCTCGTGAGCGTGGGCTCCTGAGCCTGGCTGCACACATGGCCAGGGGTGCTCACAGCCATGTCGGCCTCTGCAGGTGACGGGGGGAGCCTTCCGCCCAGAGCCCCGTGTGAGGCCAGCATCCTGCCCCTCGAAGGCACCTGAGCAGTGAAGAGTCGGGGTGCTCTGGGGGTGGGAGCCACCGAGGACTACAGAGACCTCTCTCTGGCCAGGGCCACCTGACCCTGAGGCCTATGTGATCTGCCCCTCCCCCCCTTCCTCCAACCCCTTCCCGCCTTGGTCCCCGGGCCTTCTGGGCACCTGGTTCCCCTTGTCACCCCAGTCCAGTCCCCTTGGCCTCTGCAAATCCTGCAGGCCCTCCCTCCTTCATGTGGGGCCTGGGTCTGACCACACTCGAGTCCTGCCCTCCCTTCCATGTCAGCACAGGGATGCCCAGCCCGGCTGCCCTGCCCCAGGCCCCTGCTGGAAGGGCCCTAGGACAGGCACTCTTAGGGAAGGCGTGGACAGCTTTTCCAGAGGCCTGAGAGCACTAATCCCGGGTGTCAGTGGGACCTGGTGCTCCTCCTCCCCATGGGGATGGGACAGGGGGCAGAGTCAGGATCCCCTTTCCCACCCTCCCAAAGGTGGATTGCCAGCACTGAGCCCGGAGCCCAACCTTCTGCCAGCCCGTCCCCCTGCCCCATTGAGGGGTCAGCCTGGCGGGAAGGGAGCTCAGACGAGAGGCAGGAGGGAGGTCTGCCTGGAGGAGGAGGGGCGGCCATTGGGCCCGGGGGCCAGGCAGGACTTGGTCTGGGGAAGGGAGCCAAGCGGGTCACTGCTGCAGGGGCCTGGGGACGGGGGGGGCGGGGCAGGGGAGACATGGCCCGCTCCTCCCCTATCTCTTCCTGCAGGTCTGACTTCCAAATGCCCAATTATCCTGAGTGCATTGGATCGACCAGTGGGGCGGTGGCTCTGGGTCCGACCTGCCCCCGCCGGCTCGCCCAGCTGCTCGGTTCCATCCGATGGCCTCGTTAGAGCTAATTGCTCTGACATTTCAGCTCTGACAGGGCCAGTGTGACAGGCGTCTTGGGTCTTCTTCCAGCATGGGGGAGGGTGGGCGACTGCTCCCCCGCCTGTCCCCAAACGTGGAGAAAGGCCCCGGAGCCCTGGGGCTGCGCCGAGGCTGGAGGTGGGCGGCCCGGGCAGGAGGGGCGGGACACAGGCCTCCCTGTCCCCTGCAGCCCCCAAGGACCATGGGGACCCAGGGGTGGCCCAGGGCAGCATGACATCCGGAGTGCCCCCAAATCCTCTGAGGGATATGGTGTGTGCCCGTGCAGGCCCGTCTCCCTGTGAACAGGGACCCTAGTCCCAGGCTGTGGGCTCTGGAGGGGCTTCTCTGGAGACCCGCTGCCCGGGGCCCCGGGGCTGTGTGTCCCACAGATGTGTGCCTCTCCCAGGACACAGACGATGCCCACTGACAAAGACCTTCATCCTGCTCACACCATGGAAGCAACCTCTGACCCCTGATTGCCGGGGA